ATATATATATATAATCTACATTCAACATCATCATTTGATAAGACATCAAAAGTGTTGAAACAAAATGGGTATTTTGTAGTGATTTTATAACATATTTATGTTATAATTTTTAAATAAATATATATATATATATATATATATATAGATATATATATATATATATATATATATATATATATATATATATATATATATATATATATATATATATATATATATATATATATATGGTAGACTCTCCTATCGTGAACAATAAATAAGGGTCAACATTGGATGGTGTCTTTTCTTTTACACTTATCCATGCTAGCAGGAGCCATTGTGGAGAAAATCGGGCAAGGGAAAGACAAATTTCATTTGTGCTTTCTTAACGGTGATAATAGCCCAGTATTGCTGCGGCCGACAAAGCTACACTGACAGATAAAATTTGTTAAATCAGGATTTTGATGGCGTCTCTGCTTCAGAGTTGTACGAAGCTGATCACAGAGCCTCAGTCTACTGTCTTCAAAACCTTTTAAATTAACGAAACATATCTTTCGCCACTCCTTTCGGTTTGATGCTTCGGTTTCCCATGTTTTCAGATTAATGTTGAGACGTTACAAGTTGTCTTTCAATTATGTTGGAATACATACACATTTTACAGACACACACACACACACATACACACACAGAGATATCTATCTATCTATATATATATATATATATATATGAAATCATACATCGGATTGCTAAGGCTACCAGTGCTTTCGGCAAACTTCGCCATCGCTTGTGGAATGAGCGGGGTATTCGACTAGATACGGAAATTCGGGTTTACAGAGATGTTGTACTTGCCATCCTTTTGTATGGCTCAGAGTCGTGGGCTCCATACAGGTAACATATACGCCAGCTAGATGTTTTCCATAAAAGCTGCCTGCGTGCAATCTGTGGAGTTAAGCTTCAAGATAGGACAATTATTTAATGAGACATGTCTATAACTAATTCTAATTTCTATATTCTCCACACTCTATAACCTCTTTACACTATCTGTTCAAACTGTTGCAGTCAGTCTGGTTATTTATTTATTTATCTGTTCAAACTGTTGCAGTCAGTCTGGTTATTTATTTATTTATCTGTTCAAACTGTTCCAGTCTGGCTGTCTGGTTATTTATTTATTTATTCATCTATTCAAACTGTTGCAGTCAGTCTGGTTATTTATTTATTTATCTGTTCAAACTGTTCCAGTCTGGCTGTCTGGTTATTTATTTATTTATTCATCTATTCAAACTGTTCCAGTCAGTCTGGTTATTTATTTATTTATCTGTTCAAACTGTTGCAGTCAGTCTGGTTATTTATTTATTCATCTATTCAAACTGTTCCAGTCTGTCTGGTTATTTATTTGTTTATCTATTCAAACTGTTGTAGTCTGTCTGGTTATTTATTTGTTTTTCTGTTCAAACTGTTGCAGTCAGTCTGGTTATTTATTTATTTATCTGTTCAAACTGTTGCAGTCAGTCTGGTTATTTATTTATTTATCTGTTCAAACTGTTGCAGTCAGTCTGGTTATTTATTTATTTATCTCTTCAAACTGTTGCAGTCAGTCTGGTTATTTATTTATTTATCTGTTCAAACTGTTGCAGTCAGTCTGGTTATTTATTTATTTATCTGTTCAAACTGTTGCAGTCAGTCTGGTTATTTATTTATTTATCTGTTCAAACTGTTCCAGTCAGTCTGGTTATTTATTTATTTATCAGTTCAAACTGTTCCAGTCAGTCTGGTTATTTATTTATTCATCTATTCAAACTGTTCCAGTCTGTCTGGTTATTTATTTGTTTATCTATTCAAACTGTTGCAGTCTGTCTGGTTATTTATTTATTCATCTATTCAAACTGTTCCAGTCTGTCTGGTTATTTATTTGTTTATCTATTCAAACTGTTGTAGTCTGTCTGGTTATTTATTTGTTTTTCTGTTCAAACTGTTGCAGTCAGTCTGGTTATTTATTTATTTATCTGTTCAAACTGTTGCAGTCAGTCTGGTTATTTATTTATTTATCTGTTCAAACTGTTCCAGTCAGTCTGGTTATTTATTTATTTATCTGTTCAAACTATTTGCAGTCAGTCTGGTTATTTATTTATTTATCTGTTCAAACTGTTCCAGTCAGTCTGTTTATTTATTTATTTATCAGTTCAAACTGTTCCAGTCAGTCTGGTTATTTATTTATTCATCTATTCAAACTGTTCCAGTCTGTCTGGTTATTTATTTGTTTATCTATTCAAACTATTGCAGTCTGTCTGGTTATTTATTTGTTTATCTATTCAAACTGTTGCAGTCTGTCTGGTTATTTATTTATTTATCAGTTCAAACTGTTCCAGTCTGTCTGGTTATTTATTTATTCATCTATTCAAACTGTTCCAGTCCGTCTGGTTATTTATTTGTTTATCTGTTCAAACTGTTGCAGTCAGTCTGGTTATTTATTTGTTTATCTATTCAAACTGTTCCAGTCAGTCTGGTTATTTATTTATTTATCAGTTCAAACTGTTGCAGTCAGTCTGGTTATTTATTTGTTTATCTGTTCAAACTGTTCCAGTCTGGCTGTCTGGTTATTTATTTATTTATTCATCTATTCAAACTGTTGCAGTCAGTCTGGTTATTTATTTATTCATCTATTCAAACTGTTCCAGTCAGTCTGGTTATTTATTTATTTATCTGTTCAAACTATTCCAGTCAGTCTGGTTATTTATTTATTTATTCATCTATTCAAACTGTTGCAGTCAGTCTGGTTATTTATTTATTCATCTATTCAAACTGTTCCAGTCAGTCTGGTTATTTATTTATTTATCTGTTCAAACTGTTCCAGTCTGTCTGGTTATTTATTTATTTATCTGTTCAAACTGTTGCAGTCAGTCTGGTTATTTATTTATTTATCTGTTCAAACTGTTGCAGTCAGTCTGGTTATTTATTTATTTATCTGTTCAAACTGTTGCAGTCAGTCTGGTTATTTATTTATTTATCTGTTCAAACTGTTCCAGTCTGGCTGTCTGGTTATTTATTTATTTATTCATCTATTGAAACTGTTGCAGTCAGTCTGGTTATTTATTTATTTATCTGTTCAAACTGTTCCAGTCTGGCTGTCTGGTTATTTATTTATTTATTCATCTATTCAAACTGTTCCAGTCAGTCTGGTTATTTATTTATTTATCTGTTCAAACTATTCCAGTCAGTCTGGTTATTTATTTATTCATCTATTCAAACTGTTCCAGTCTGTCTATCTGTGTCAGCCTCTTTCTTTCTTTATATATATATATATATATATATATATATATATATATATATATATATATATATGTGTGTGTGTGTGTGTGTGTGTGTATATAATATCTAATCCAAGAGTAACGTTAATGTTATGAACTGTATACTAAATACTTGAAACCACCCCTTAATGAAATTAACTATGAATACTGTACAAATGTTTAAAATGTTTACAGAATATTGTTTAAAATATCTATATTTTAAATAATAGTTTTAAATAGTTTTTCTTTAAAAAAAGATTTAGCCATTTCAATAACTTAATTGCCTCCCTTGACGATTGCACGCGTGTCTAAATGATAAACTTTAAACATTGCACAGTACATAAACTTAAAGTTTTTCACTTCACACGTAAATAAATAATTTTCATGTGAACACAACAACTTTCTCAAAGAAAATTAATGAACACAACAATTTGTCTTGACGCTGATGACGACATTATGGCAATGTCGAAAGTACTCGGAATAAAATGAATATGCCTCAACATGATAATTTTCTCTTTTTCCTTTAATAAGGATACTAAGAAATATGTAATTATCATACTTATTATAAAACCCAGGTTGTGTGTGTGTGTGTGTGTGTGTGTGTGTGTGTGTCTGTACGTTTATATATTGGATCGAATTTCCTACATTTTTCAACCGATTTCAACAAAACTTCACAGGACTACGTAAAATTACCTTGCGGTGGTTCTGACAGTGCCAAAAATTGGAAAAACACAATTATTTTTGCACGAAATCAATTTGAAAACACGATTAAGAGGCATCGCAAGAATGAAAGGGGGACAACTCATGTATGTGTGTTCGTTTATATATGGGATCAGATTTCCTACATTTTTCAACCGATTTCAACAAAACTTCACTTTTTTTGGCATGTAGTGTTTCTTATTGTCTTGCACGCTTTTTTCTTTATTTTTACATTCAGAATGCTTTAAAAATTCCATTTACAAGACAATTGTTTATAATAAAATAACGATTGAAAACAATGTTTTTGTTTGAGTTTGACCAATTCGTAAAAAAAAAACAAAAAAAAAATTAATTAAGACATGCGTGTCCGTCAACCTTAAAGAATAATCTTTGTCAATTTTATTTTTCAGTCTTTATGATGGTCGATACTTGATCTATCTCTTACTGTTATATCCCCGGGCAACGCCGGGCTCTACTGCTAGTTAAAAATAAACAGACAAAACTTGTTTAAATTATTTAATGAGACATGTCTATAACTAATTCTAATTTCTATATTCTCCACACTCTATAACCTCTTTACACTATATTAATTATAATTTATAAACTTTCTTCTTCTCTAAGATCTCCCGAACCCTTTCCACTAATCCATTACCTTCTTTTATCTACATATTTTAAAGTTATTTTGAGCCCCTTTTTTTTACTCCTCTTTTAATTTTAAATTAATATTTCATCAGATATTTTCTATCAGATAGATAGTAACCCCTTGCGTACTAGTGGCATCCCGCCTTGCCTGGGGTAAGATGCTTAAAAAATAAATAGATAGATCGATAGATAGATAGATCATTAAAGGTAGCACTAAGTAATCTGTTTAGCACATATGGGCATAACAGATTGGGGCATCTCGGCGTGGTGTAATGGTTGTCTCGCTAAATCAGTTACAACTGAAAAGTGAGTTCGATCTTCACTAGGTGCCCCCTACTTTCGGCCTTGTGCCACATCTAAGCTACGCTTGGAAAATAACTATGGGCATAACAGATT